AGAATTAGGAAAACTAGTGATGAGTACTAACATGTACTAAATTCGTTTCAAATTATAAGATGTTTTGGCTTTTCTAGATACATTGTTTTTACCATGTATCTAGACATAGTGTATATCTATATGCATAGCAAATGCAATGTATCTATAAAAGTCAAAACGTCTTATAATTTAGAACAGAGAGGGATTACTAAGCAAGTTTAGGGGGGCAGGCCCCTGCCTGATCCCCCTTGTCTCCGCCCCTGCTCTAAGTGGAAACATGGAAACTAATTCAAAATAGGTATTCTGATCGCTCGGAAAATTTGAAACGATGCACACCCATAATGCATATATAGATGTGTTTTGCTGCAAAAGGCTGAGATGCATTCTCTATAAGAGCGTCTCCATGAGTCTCTCTTAAACTCACTTTCTAAATCATCATTTGGAGAAGCATTTAAATAAAAATCACTCTCTATATCTTTGCACCCTGCAACAGATTCTCTATATCTTGTGTACACTCTAAAGAACCAGCATCACTCTCTATCTTTAGCTAGCGAGAATATAATTCTGGAATAGAGGATAATAACTGTATTTGAAAAATATGATTAAATAAGCTATTGGAGGGGTTTTTTCATCAAAATCTATATTTCTATTAATTAGGAAAAATATAAAGAGGCTCTTCGAGATGCTATAGTAACCACATTCTTTTGAGAGGGCCCTTTTGCCAAAGAGACACAGATGAGCTACTGATTCAAAAATCAGTACCACGTTGAATACAAGGTATAATTAAGTAACAAAGTTTCAGATGCTGACAGCAACACAATAGTCAAAAAAAATGTGATGAATGGACTCATTTTCATAGCAGAAGTGGCGGGACCTACCATTTATAGGTTTTATTTTAATCAAATTATCTCTTGTGAGAAGCTTGTTGTTACAAAAAGATTTCGACTCTGAGTGGAATGCACAACTTCCAGATAGCGGGGGTATAAAAGAATTGAAACCTTCTAAAAAGGACACCACAGAGTCACTACCGGAAATAGTAACTTAGCCGAGTGCCTGTGGCACTCAGCAAAGATCAAAAAACACTCGGCAAAGGCTTTGCCGAGTGTAACACTTAACAAATAGCACACGGGATCTACAGTGTCGGTAAATAACTATTTGCCGAGTGTTTTTTATCGCGCACTCGGCAAATGGTTTGCCGAGTGTCAAACACTCGGCAAAAAAAAAAGTGGTTTACCGAGTGTTTTCCAAAATACAAGTGGCAAAAAAAAGTGGTTTGCCGAGTGTTTTCCAAAATACACTCTGCAAAATACTGTTCACATTATTGTTTGCCGAGTGTTTTTAGAATTACACTCGGCAAATCTATTTTTCAAAGAAAAAAAATATTTTTTAGCATACCACTACTGTTTGCCGAGTGTTTTTGAAAATTACACTCGGCAAACCTATTTTTCAAAGAAAAAAAAATTTCTCAGCATATTTCAGTCCTTTGGCAATAGCAGCAGCAGTTGGCTCGTTGATGATATGCATCACATTGAGGCCAGCAATCACCCCATTATCCTTTGTGGCCTGCCTCTGTGAGTCGTTGAAGTAGGCAGGGACTGTCACAACAGCATTTTTGATCGTCAGCATGTTTGGTTGGCTGGTTTGTATCGTTGTTGGTTCGTTTATGTGAGAGAGAAGTACTGCTGGTTGGTTCAGGTGAACAGTACTCATGTGAGAGGACTGGCCAGCCCAGCCAGCTTCAACCAGCCCAGCGATCATGCTGACGTGCTGCCAAGGTAAGCTTCAGCGATCTCACGCATCTTGATGAGAACCATAGAGGAGATCTCTTCGGCTGCAAACTGCTTCTCACCCTTGTGCTGGACAACAATCATTGGCTTCTCACCAGGCCCAGAAATGACCTTGAAGGGCCACAGCTTGATATCGCTCTGGACAGAGGCATCAGAGAACCTCCTGCCGATGAGACGCTTGGCATCTGCATACAAATGCAATCATGTCGATATGCATTCCAAACCATACAATTTGAAATGTAACAGAAATCATCCATCAGTTAAATAAAACTTTGATCAATCAAGTGAAATATAATAATCCAGAGACTACCTATAACTAATAAAAAATTCACATCAGTTTTCAGTCAAGATGCCACTAGCAGAAAAGTCAATCAAGTGAACTCCAATAATAATAGTAAGACTGTATTCAGAAAACAAATTACACTAGCTGGCTAGCTAGCTAAGAAAAAACAAAAGACTATATTCAAAAAACAAATTACACCTAGCTGGCTAACTAGCTAAGAAAAAACAATCATCAGTTTTTTCAGTCATGATCATTAGAACGATCAGAACATGTAAACGGGCATATAGTAACTGGAAACTCATAATTAAGCAACCAGTGTCGCAAGATCCGTTCCCCCTTATATTCTGCCATGTTTCAAGACACACAATCACAAAGAATGACTGCAAGTCAGATACCAAATGGCATTGACTACAACAAACTACACTAGAAAAGGAATCCAACTAAACTGGCATAAATGCCAGCAGTTAGTTTAAACAGCTGGACCCAAATGCTAGTAATACAAATAACAAAAGAATAAAAGCACTAAAAAATAAGTAATCATACCCATCAGGAAAATGGTAGCCTTTTCCAGGTTGCAGATGAAAGAGGCCTACATTGTGGACACAGATGTCCAACAAATGCCCAGCAGAATGAAGCCTGTAACATTACAGAGATAGCATAATGAGAAGTAAAGCTTAGACATTCAGAAATAATGAAATGACAACGAGCAGACAGAAACTGGGTGATGAAATGCTGAAACTGCTTATTACACTGAGCATCTATGAGCTGAATACATCACTTCTTACTTCTATAGGCATTCCTTGTGGAAATGCAAGTATGGATCATCTGGCCAGGATGTCAGCTATGAAATAATGTTAGCTTCAAGCAGCTTAACTAGTTAATTTGATTGCAATTTGTAAATACAACTTGATACATGGGTGTCCTTAAAGACTCAAAGCTCTTCTAATAAGTAAATGGGAAGGCCTCAAGTACACAAAGGAAAGCTTATATACACAACAGAACCATTCAGATAGCATCACCTTGAATTAAAGCTGCGCCGTTCTGCGTCGGCCTCCAAGCTAACGGTTTCCTCCTCTTTAAATCCAATCCCACATCCTTGTTCCGTGCCCTCAAATCTTCCATAGTTGAAAACCTGGGTGCCAATCACAAGATGAGAGAGGCATGGCAAGTTAAAAAATCAGAACTCCTGCGACAATCTCATGGTTCATGAACAAGTTTGCAGCTTTTGTTGCGGATAGCGAAAAATTGTGCGTGTCTAGCCACGGTAAGAGTTCTATTCCAAGACATATTGAAATAGATGGTACAAGCTATATGTCCCGCGCAACACACAACTATATCTTACCTGCTAATTTACACTAAAAACAAATATAAAGAATTTGAGCTTCCTTCAATGGACCATAACTTAATCAATTTAGCTATATTAGTAATTCAACTGTTTCACAGTAGCTAGTGCGACATACCTGAAATAGAAGCCCACATGTTCGGCTAGGCCCGCGGCGGAGCGACCCAGCCCTGAAACCCTAGCTGCCATTGGCGGGCCCCTTCAGGCCACCGCCCTCCCCCTCCCCCTCCCCTTCCTCCCCGCCCTCCTTTGCTTCCTCCGTCCCCTATCCTTCTCTTCCTCACGCGGTCCACGGGGCTGGGCAAGGCGGCCAGCCGCAAGACCTGGCGGCGCCTTCCCCACCGTCAGGCGTCATGGTGCCTCTCTCCTCTCGCCACTTGACCCCCTCTCCACTTCTCCCTCATGCGGGATCTAGGGACACGGGCTCCACCGCCGACGCCCGCTCGGGATCTGCGCGCTACCATGACGGAGTCGGCGGGTTCCGAGGCTGCCGGTGCCGATGATGGCGCGGCCGCGATGCCTCGATGTGCACCCGCACCACCACACCTCATCCGCCTCCGCCACCAAGCCCGCCTCTCTCGGCCAGGGCTGCAGCTCGCCTGACCAAGGCCGCCGTCCCTCGGCCGCCTGGGTGCCCCATCATGGGCCCCCTCCCCGGATCTCGCCGTTGGGGAGGGAGGAGGAGGGCGGATCCATGACAGCCAGTGGGAGAAGAAGGGAGGAGGGGAGGGAGGGCCGGATCCACGGCCGTGGGGAAGAAGAAGGGACGGGCCGGATCCGGGGAAGAAGAAGGGAGGGAGGGAGGGCCGGATCCATGGCGAAAAGAAGAAGGGAGTGAGGGAGGGCGGATCCATGGCCGACGGAAGAAGAAGGGGAGGAGGAGGGAGGGGCCTGCCGTGAAGGGAAGAAGAAGGGAGGAGGGGGAGGGGGGCCACCGACGAAGAAGAAGGGGAGGGAGGGGCGGGTGCGGGAGGAGGGGAGGGAGGGCAGGTGCTGGGGTGCCGGGAGGGAGGCCGGGCGCCAAAAGGGAGGAGTGGGGCTGGGGAGGAGGGCGGGATTTTAGGGGCGGACGGTTTTTTCTATATTTTTTGGGTTTGCCGAGTGTTGTTTTTGACACTCGGCAAACCTGCTTTTTTGCCGAGTATTTTTTTTTACACTCGGTAAATTTTCTATTTGCCGAGTGTTTTTTGTTTGACACTTGGTAAACTATTCTCTTTGTCGAGTGTTTTTTTTTCCCGAGTGTTTTTAGTATAGCACCCGGTAAAGAATTTGTTTGCCGAGTGTTCGAGGGAATACACTCTGCAAACATAAAAACACTCGGTAAATTTAACGTTTCCGGTAGTGAGTATATATAAAGATTGGACGAGCAAATGTCTTTAGAATTATGTTCCGAAATCACAGCGTCACAATCATCAACAAAAGTAATGGATTCTGCATTACATTTAATCTCGAACCACGAGTTCATCATTTCGTTTTCCCCTTCATATGTACATATTCCATTCTTATTATTCTTCCTTTTAGGGAGTGCAGGCGAGAACTGAAGCCTACTACAATCATGGATGCTCTATCTCTCACATCCAAACTCCGAACCTTTACATGCATCGACTAGCTAGAACGGGATGAAATTCATAAGCAGGCTATGAAGAATGATATACACGAGGGCCACAGCTAGGAAGGCAACCGGCAACAGGACCAACAGGACAGCGGGTCTCTTCCCTCGCCGTCCCAGCACGGCCAGCGCAAACGGGTAGAGGAGGGCGACGATCCACACGTTGAACAGCAAGCCCAGCGCCTCGTGCCTCACCTGATACGACCTCCAGACTCCATTGAACACGATTACCTTGCCCAGCGCGACGCCGATGGCCCCGACGTTGGCGGCGAAGACCACGGTGGTCGGGATCAGCAGCGGCACCCACCGGAAGACGTACAGGTCGGCGAACTTGTCCCCGTCGCCGTCCGCCGCCACCGCCTGCTTGGAGGTGATCCTGAACCGTATCCCTTTCCCGGTGACGAGCTTGATCACTATGTACAGCACCGCAGTCGGGTACGCGCTGGTGGCGCCGACCATGAAGAACTGCTCGTTCCGCCACCAGTCCGTCCACGTGATCCCCGCCCATTTTATCTCGAACGCTCCGATGACGTGGATCATCAGGATCACCAGCACGAGGTAGACGACGTACCTCGTGAACGGCCTCTGGATGTAGAACTCCTCGGGGAAGAGCCACATGACCGGGCACAGGCCGTAGACCACGGTGAAGACGGAGGTGACGGGGTAGATGGTCATGTTGAGGTACGCCACGCGCTGCAGCGGGTGCAGCCAGCCGCCGGCGAGGAGGGGGTTGTTGTGGGAGAAGAACATCTCCAAGGACCCGCCCGACCACCGCATGATCTGGAGGAGGCGCTCGGCGAGGTTGATCGGCGCGGTGCCGCGGAAGGCGGCAGGCTCAATGGTGCAGTGCCTGGAGAACCATCCCTGCCGGTGCACGCGGAAGCCGGTGGCCACATCCTCGGTTGCGATGTTGTAGACCCACCCGATGCCCCTGCCCCAGCTAGTCCCAGCTTCGTACGCGCACGCCATGACGTTCAGCAGCTCGGTGGTGATCGACTCATCATCCAGTGTGCACACGGCAGCAGCAGGCCGACGATCTTGTTCGCCGGCTACGGCGAGCCGTATTGATTCTAGGAAGGGTGTCGAGTTGCCGAAAGCACTAGCATCGACTGCGATGCCGCTGCCATCGTGGTTGCCGGCGGCTCTTCGCCGGCGCGGAGGTTTTCCGCCGTAGAGTGCGGAGCGACGGAACATGCACCCGGTGCCCAGGTACGACGGGCCTTGGAGGCCGTTGAGAGCGAGCATGGTGCCGTCGAAGAAGACGCGGTTGTGGTTGCAGTACCTGTCCTCCGGGTCGACGTCGTCGAACCGCTGCGGGAACTGCACGAACGCCGTGTCCTCCCCTTCCCTGGGGTCGAGCATGAAGCACATGGCGGCGCGGAACGCCCCCGAGTTGTTGATGTAGTGGTCGCAGTCGAAGTTGATGATGAAGGGCGCGTTGGAGAGCAGCGCCGACACGCGCAGCTGCACGTTCATGGCGCCGGCCTTCTTCTGGTGGTCGTAGCTGGTCGGGTGCTTCTCGCGTGCCACGTAGACAAGCATGGGCAGACGCGAGTCAGTGGCACTCAGGTCAATTGGACAGCTGTTGACGACGTCATTGGGCTGCCCAAGCTGAGGCGTATGGCCTGGCTGCTCCAACATCACCTGTCAATGTCAATGCGTGCCAAATTGATTCTAAGTAGTGTAATCTTTCGTCAGCAATGAAATTTGGTACTAACTACACCACTTTCATCAACAAATGTATAACAATGCATAGGCATGATGATGACAGGGAAATAACAAAAGAAGTACCTTAATAATCGGTGCGTAGTGGCCTTTCATATGGTTCTCTGTTGGATCAATCCATGCACCGGGCCATTGTGTCCCATCAGCCATCCAAGTAGCCTTCACGCCTCCTCCAGATTTCCCGGCGGCGTTGTACGCGTCAGACCGCCGGCGAACCGTGTCGAAGAGCATGCCGATCCGCGCCCTGAACTCCTCGTACTCCCGGCGCACGCACCGGTGGTCCTCCACGAAATCCTCCGGGGATCCACCGGCGTACGTCGGCGCTCTCAGCAGCTCATCATAAAAGCACCTCTCAGGCGCCCTCGGCTCGACGCAGTGCTTCCGGCAGAATGGCACCCACAGCGCGGCGAACCTCGCCGTCTCTTCCAGCGCCTCGTAGTGGACCAGCGCCCCGCCGTCGTCGGAGAGGTAGCAGGCGTGCTTCTCCACCGGGTAGTCGGTGGCGAGGATGGAGAGGACGGAGTTCATCGTGCACAGAATCGGCTCGTCCACGGGGTTCGCCGTGTTGATGAAGACGTCGACCCCCGGGAGGCTGGAGCTGCCGTCCGGGCGCGGGCGGTCGTGCTGCCGCTTGAGCGCGGCGAGGTTGGGGATGCTCTTGATGGGGTTCATCCTCGGGAGCATGTTGAGGAGCCATGAGAAGCCGAACCAGACGTCGCCGGCGACGGAGAGCGCCCACAGCCACTCGATGTCGGCGATGTTGTTCTTCACCCGCCATATGAAGAAGATGATGATTGCGATCAAACGAGCGAAGATCAAGAACCTGTGGTGTGTGAAAACGTTCTTCAGATTATCTGTTCTTGTGCGTTAATTAGTCAATTTTGTTGCTTATTAGTTATTACTAAGGATCGAAGTGACTAGACAGTGAACAAAATAAATAATATGTTTATTATTGATCGTTGGAGTTATTCTTATTTCTTGATACTATAGCACTTCTATTTATCCAAAAAAAATGAAAAGTTCAATTTCGCAGTAGTTTCCGGGAAATGAGTAAAAGTTGAATTCCAGACAGTTAAAAGTAAACCCGAATGTACGTGCAGCAGTACACGCACCTGTATGGGTACAGTATGCTCCGCTTGACCTTCTTGTTCCGAAACAGCAGGGGCCGGCGGCCACCGCGGCCACTCTCCACGTCGGCCGGCTCCAGCGCCTCCGGCTGGTCGATGTCCACCCAGTACCTGTCCTCGGCGCTTCGCTTCTTCTCAGCCGCCGGTTCCGCGCCACCGTTGGCCACGGTCACCGCCGCCCCGGCGTGGACGCCGCCGCCGCCGCCGCCGCCGTTCCGGAGCAGCGGCTCGCCGAGGCCGGAGTTAGCGTGACCATCGCGAGCACCACCGGCGCCGCCGGTCGCCGCCGGCGGGGACATGGCTTGCGCGCGCGCGCGTCTTGCAAGTTGCGAGTAGGTCAGGTCCGGTCTGTGCGTGTGAATATATCAATATATACGCTTGCAGCGGAACGGAGCAGATGCGTACGACGACGCGACGATGTCGTCGGCTCGTCGCCGGTGACAAATGGGAGGGACGGGAGTTATATTTTACAGACGCAGCGCAGTACGTGTGCCACGCCGACGCCGAGCGCACGGACTCCGACGCGTCCAAAACTCCGAACAAACCCAACGGGAGACCGTACGTCGCCGTTGCTGTGCCTGCGCGCGTACAAAAGCGGCATCGAGGACTCGTTGTCGCGGGGGACGACGACGATGGGTCTTGTCTCGGCCTGTGTGAGTAACGTGTGCGTGCCACCTGCCACGGCCCACGGTGAGAAGGCCTCACGTCGTTGTCCGATGGAACAACCAGCATTTTGTATTGCCACGTAGGAGTACTACTGGTACTCCGCCACATTGGCACACAAGCATTGCACGTTTCACTGTCTAGTGCATGCATGGTGATGAGCCAAGCAACCCTGTCTGTCCCTGCTGGCAGTAGATGTCGTGAAAAACGTGGGTGCTGTGGGTCGTTCGTTCCTCATCTGCAAACCGGAGATTCTGATTCTCCTTCCAAAAACACCCCCATTCGGGGACCAAAGTGTGGACAACCAGAAATGCTAAAGTTTCCAGAGACGAAGACGTTATAGCTAGCTCCAAGGGACACTGTCTGCTGCGGCATCAAAGAATTATATATATATCCAGTATCCCACTGCAAGTTTTTTTCCCCAATTACACAGGGGACACTCACAAGTCACAACACACAATGTCAATCTTTCTTTATTTCTTAGGGTTTGTTAGGATCCACCGGCTGCTATATGTTGAATTAGTCTAGCTAGTGAGATATAGTTATTAGCTAGATAAGTATCCAGCTAACAATTAGCTACTTTATTAGTTGTACCTATTTTGGTCTAATACAAGTAATTGTCATAGAAGGTAACTATTACTACCTCTGTCCAAAAACAAATGTAATTCTAGGTGCATTCTCAGTTAAAGCGTCTAAAGTTTAACCAAATATATAGGTAAAAATATTAATGCTTATAATGTCAAAAAAAGTACATTACGAAAATATATTTCATGACTAATGGGATGGTACCCATTTAGTATGATAAATATTAGTATTTAAAAAAAAATTTTGGTCAAACTTGACATATCTAAACATTGCGTCATTGTAGAATTGCATTCTTTTTGGGACGTAGGGAGTAGCTTCATGGGTCCAAACATGCCCTTACCATCATCACCTTGTGCAAACTTGCAAAAAGTAACTGAATCTGTTCTTTGAACCCCCCAAGTCACAATTAACAAAAGATGTTTAATTATACTCGACCTATTTGGTAGTTGGATGATTTCTTTCTCGATAGTCAAACTCAAGATGCATGTGTCAAGTTAAAGTATTTTGAGTTTGACTAACTATGAATAAAAATATCGATATTTATAATATCAAATAAGTACCATTAGATTCATCATAAGATAATAGTTTTTTATACTATATTAAATTGGTATAAAAAATATTAAATATTTTATCTATATTTGGTTAAGCTCTTATTTTTAAGAGGTAGTAGTATTTTCACATGTTGCTGCAGGCAACACAGATCCAATGTACAGTAATTATAATGTAACGCCCGACGTCGCAGGAGCATGCCAACAGAAACGAGATCGCTGCCAAGATTGGGATCATCTGGCAGCAGCTGGCAGTCTGGCACTAGCGCGGAACGATGCTCAGAATCAGAACAACCGAAGGAAGGACCACCTCCGCACCAAGGGAATCGGGATCGGAATCCTGTGAGCGAGCTAGTAGATCATCCCTTGGACCTCATGTGACTCACTTGCCGTGTAACACGCCCAAGAACAGGAAGCGTCGCCTTCGACGATGTGTGGTGTGGTCCGTACGCCCTTCTGCGTACAGACGAGTACAGGTACAGACAGCTGCCCCTCGCTCGCTGGAAAACACTTCCATTCGATGGGTGGGCCTGTGGCCCGTGGCATGTGGTCTGTGCCCTGTCCATAGAGCTTCCGGTGCAGTATTTTTCAGTGAATAAATAGTATTTTCTCTCACAATAAATTAGCATAAACATCGGTATAAGTCAAATTTCAGCGAAACGAACAGGGATATATCTAGTACTCCGTGCTTCTAAAATGTGTAGTATGCTCGTTTTGGTTTTGTGCCTCACTCTCATAATCAAGTTTGTAGAAAATACATCAACATAATTAATCAGTTTTATTTATTTCGCTATTAAATATGCCTTTTAACGTATTTTGTGGCATCGTAGATGCTATTATGCTAATACATTTTATATAAACAGATCAAAGTTAGAAAAAAAGTAAGTTAGGATAAAACTCAAACTATATATTTGGAAAAGGAGAGGGGCAGTTGTGTTGAAAAAAACAGCACATTACGCTACACATTCAACTTTTTTCATACTCTATTCATCCTAAATTATAAGTTATTTTAGTTTTTTAATAGTTATAAAAAATAGAACGACTTATAATTTAGAACAGATGAAATACACAGCTGAGATAGCCAAATGTGTGTCGTCATCCCCAGTTTTACTGTGATTAATTGTTTTTATTAATTGTTTTATTTACACTCCAAAACGCGATGTTCGGACTTCAGAGGAAGCAGCTGCTCACCAACTCACGATTTCGTTTTTGAAAAGGACACGGATAACGCGCGACCGGTCGCGCTGTAGGCCGAGCGCGCGACCTGCCACACGCGCGATGGCAGGGTGCGTTCCGACCAGCCCCGCTACCGCCTACCACTTTTACAGCCTGTTCGGGAGACCGTATCGTATCGTGGATTATTTACTGCTGGCTGGTTTGGTGTGAGAGAAAAACATTGTTCCCGGCTGGAAATTTACGATCGTTTACGAGCAAGCGAACAGGCTGTTACACTTCCAGCCCGCAGTCCAAGGCGTAACATGCAAATCTCGTTTACTATGTGATATCATGATGACGCAAACAAAAAAAAAGTAGATTTTTTTTAAATTGCTATAACTTTTCAACGGGGTAACAGTTTTCAATTCCGTCTACGCCGCTGTGTTCTACGTGATGAGGCAAATAAAACTAGACCTCACTTGCATATGTTTCAAAGAGCTTAATTTTAATAGCAATTTATGTGTAAATATGTACTAGGAAATTTATTAAAGGAGTTACTACCATGTAATACTAAAGATGCTAATGAAAATATATTAAAGTTGTTCCATTGTATGCACATTGATTGCTACCATGGGAATATAATAAAAATGTTATATAGTACTTACATAAGAGAATAGCGGCTCAAAACAAGACAAGCTCCAACTTAGAGGAGTAAATTATTAAAACAAGCATTGCATAAGCTGCCAACTAGGCGGCAATTTATTATACAACAAATTACAAAAGCAAGAAAACATGACTTGCTGCCAACTAGAGGATTTATTAAAAAACGAGGGTAGCAGCACAAAACAAGATAAGCTACAACCTGGGGGCAAATTATTAGAACAAACATTGCATGAGTTGTCAACTCGAGGGGCAAGTTATTATATAACCCACTATATGAGTCGTAAAACATGACTAGGGCCTCGTTTAGATTGTCTCAAAGTTCCAAGTTTTTTCACTCTCTCTCCGTCACATCAATTTTTGGACGCATACATGGAGTATTAAATGTAGGTAAAAAAAGTAACTAATTGCACAATTTGGTTGTAAATCACGAGACGAATCTTTTGAGCCTAGTTAGTCCATGATCGGACAAAGTTTATCAAATACAAACGAAACATGCTACAGTATCCAGATTACAAAAATTTGCAATCTAAATAAGGCCTAGTTGACAATTGAAGGGACATTTGTTGAAAATACAATCGGAAAATTGAAATGAAATTGACAAAAAGGAACTGAAAACTAAAGTAGACATAATGAAAAAAGAACTAAAACATAAAACTGAAAACTAAAGTAGGCATAGGCATGAAAAGGGAAACTAAACCACTAAAATAGCTACTGTAAACTAAAACTGAAATTAACAACCAGAAAATTGAAATAAAATTGACAAATAGAAACTAAAAACTAAAGTAGACACAATGAAAAAAAACTAAAACATAAAACTGAAAAGTAAAGTAGGTATTCGAAACCTAAAAGAAAAACTAAAACAATGAAATAGCTACCAGAAACTAAAAATGAAATTGACAACCAAAAAATTGAACTGAAATTGACAAATAGAAACTAAAAAAATAAAGTAGACACAATGAAAAACAAAGTACCGAAACATAAAAATGAAAACTAAAGGAGGCATTCAAACCTGAAGAGAAAACTAAACCACTAAAATAGCTACCAGAAACTAAAATTGAAATTGACAACTAGAAAAATTGAACTGAAATTGATAAATAGAAATTGAAAACTAAAGTAGACACAATGAAAAAAAGCTGAAACATATTACTGAAACTGAAATTACCGGATACTAAACCTGAAATTGACAACCAGAAAATTTAAGTGAAATCGACAAAACTAAAAACTAAAATAGACATAATGAAAAACAAACAAGAGAAATTATAACTACTAGAAACCGAAACTGAAAAAACTAAAGTAGACAACCAATCATAGCTACCAATAAAATCCACAAGATGCCAACTTGGAAAATATGGACAAAAAATTGTTTATATTTTCACAATCTACCTAAATTGTTATATATTAATATATAAGTAGGACCATACGTACAACATAAGTTGCCAGTATATATAAATATAATGTAAAATATATGCATCATAGATCTAGTTTTGTAGATTTCAGTCTGTTCGTTTGGCTGTAGCTTGTCGTAAACGATCGTAAATTTTCAGCTGGAACAATATTTTTCTCTCACACAAACCAGTCAGCAGTACTTCTTCACGAACCAGCAACGATACGAACCAGCTAACCGAACAGGCTGTTACTGTATAAGCAGATCGGTGTACTCAACTGAAAACGAACACCTCAGTAGA